GTTTGTACAATGATGCTATTCATTGAAAATTCCTTTTATAAAAACCACAAGTGGCAACTATACACATGGACCTCATTAGACACACAACACAGGAATCAGGTTGATTATATCTATGGAAAGAGGCACTGGAGGGGGTCAATATTAATTGTGAAAATCAGGCCAGGCGCTAACTGCAGAACAGACCACCAAGTACTCATGTGCAAGTTCAAACTGAAGCTGAGGAATTTTTTTTCTTTTCCATTTGTACTTGCGTTTTTTGAAAGTACAGATGAAATAAAACAAATCAAAGTGGGGAAAAAAGGGAGAAAACAAGAAGGAAACAAATCTTGCTGAGTCAGAAGGTTGGGATGCATCGTTAATATATTTTAGTCAATGTGACTTCATGCAAAGTATCTTCAAGAGGACGGCTCTGGCTCATTTTCAAGATAACAAAGATAAACAAACAAACCCCTCCCAAAGGACAGGGGAAGGGGACCCTCAAAAAAAAACCAAACAAACCAAAACACAGAAGAAAAAACCAAAAGTTTAAAGATGCATGCTTGGAAAAAATGAAAAATGTGACTAGCATATGTATACAGTTGTTATATATGTGCCATATAAAACAAATAAAACCAATTTAGTGTATAAATTTTGAATATTTGGAACAGTACTAGTTATTATTTTTTTTCCATTTCTAAATACAGATCTAAGCAATAATGCTTTAGAAAGAAACTTTTTAAAAATTCACAAGCGCTAAAATAAAACTTTCAATCTATTCCACCTCAATTTAAAAACCATTTCAATTAAGAACAGGTTTGAGGTAGTGAACAGTAATGAATGAAAACCAATGAGCTGTGGGATGATATCAAGAATATCATCCATGAAGAAAACAAAAGATCATTACACAGTGGAAGGAAGAAAGATCAAGAAGGACATCAGAAGAGACTCTGAGTGTTGCATCAGAGTGCTGAGAATCCAAAACAAAGGGAGGAAATCAGGACGTTAGGAAATGAACAGAAGATTTCAAAGGGCAGCTCGTGATGACAAAGCAAAGTATTATAAGGCTGGAGTCAGAAAATCAAAAGGGAAGAACTCACTCAGCATTTCTCAAGCTGAAGGATCTGAAGAACAAATTCAAGCCTCAAGTTGCAATGGGCAAAATTTTGAAAGATCCAAAAGCATCCAAAGAAGAATGAAGGTGTACACAGAGGCACTGTACCAAAAAGAACTGGCTCACACAGACCTATTTTAGGAAGTAGCATATAATCAAGAACCAATGATAAGAAAGTAGAAAGTGCAAGCTGCTGAAGGAATTGGGAAGCAGCAAGTCCCCAGGAATTGATAGAATCTTAATTGACATATCTCAACAAGCAGATGCAGCCATGGATGTGCTCACCAGGTTATGTCAGGAAAACTAGCTCAGCTACCAGCCACCTGACTGGAAGAGATCCATATATATTCCCATTCTCAAAAAAGGCAGTTCCATGTATATTCCGTTCCCAAAAAGCAGGATGTGGAAATTATCAATATCATTAATATCACAAGAAAGCAAAATCTTGCTCAAGATTATTTACAAATGAATAGAAGGAAAGTATGTGGCACCAGGAATATCACTGCTGATATCAGATGGATCTCAGCTGAAAGTAAAGAGTACTGGAATGATATCTCTGTGTGTTTTATCGACTATGCAAAGGAATTTAACTGTGGGATCACAACAAATTGTGGCTAACTCTGAGAAGAATGGGAATCCAAAAATAATTGATTGTACTAACATGAAACCTATACTTACACCAGGAAGCTATTGTCTCAACAGAACAAGGGAACAATGCATGGTTCAAAATGAAGAAGAGGGTATATCAGGGATGTATCATTTCTCCACACCTTTTCAACCTATATGCTGGACAACTCATTTGAAAGGCTGGACTTAATGAATAAGAATGTGGCATCAGGATTGGAAGAAGACTCGTAACAATGTGCATTATGCAGATGATACAATCTTGTTTGCAGAAACTGAGGAGGACTTGAAGTGTTTGCTGCAGAATGTCAAGGACTGCAGCTTTCAATATGGACTGTATATCAACATCAAGAAAACAATACTCCTTACCACTGGGCAATATGTAGCAATAAAACAGGTGGAGAAAAGGCTGAAGTTGTTAACATTTCATCTTGCTCAGATCCACAATCAACATTCTTGGCACAAGCAATCAGGAAATCAAAAGATGAGCTTCACTGTGAAAACTTGCCATAAAAAACTTCTAGACAGAGCTAAAGAGCAATGATGTCAGAGTAGAGAATAAGGTGTACCTGAGCCAGGTCATGATGCTCTCAATTGCTTGCTATGCATCTGAGAGCTGGACAATGACTGCGGATGACAGAGGAAGAATTGATGCCTTTGAGATATACTGCTGGAGAAGTCTTGAGCATACCATGGTCTGCCAAGAAAACAAACAGGTCTGCTCTTCATGAAACCAGGTTGCTCCTTCAAGGCAAGAATTTTGAAGCTTTGTCTCACATTCTTAGGGCATGCTTCCAGGGGGATCTGTCACTGGAGAAGAACATCATGTTTAGGAGGGTAGAAGAACAGTGCAGAAGATACTGGATGAGAGGGATTGATACAGTGACTGTGGCAATGGGACCAGATGTATCACAGATGACTGGCTCAGGAGGGGGCAAGGTTCAGAGCCACTGTTCATAGGTCACTATGCGTTTCTGTCAACTGTAATAGTAATAGCATAGTATTTATAATACAAGTAGGATCCTACTAAGATAATAATCAACTGACCCCACTCTGTATGAGGTGACTAGATTAAAAAGCAAGTAACTGATTTTTCAAAGCAAAAGGACTTAAGAAATCATTGCTTTAATAGCTAAAAATGTTAATTATTAATAGGACACTTTTTTAAAGTATAGAGAAATGCTATTTGAAAGATTTTAAGTAATTTTTAAAACAAAAGAAAAAACACCTGCCAGAAGATATAGAACTGTGCTTTGTGGGTGACACATTTCCAAAGGTGCAAAACAATCAACAATTACTCATAAAGTCTGATGCTGTGGGACAGGTGCATTTCTAGAAAGTAAGTTACAGACCGTGAGCCCAGAGGTATCTGTACCTCAATGTCGCAAGGTCAGAACTCACTCACAGCTGACCTTTCAGTGGGTTCTTGGAGGAGATAAATCACAAGGGAGTAGAATGCCCATCTGTCTCCCTCAAAGCTGTGGGCAGACTCAAATCCCCAGAAAGGCATAGGCCTTGGGTTAGTTAGAAGCACAATTCTCTGTGAGGTCAGAGTTCTCTAAAGATATACAGTAACACATTTTATGTATCTGGATCTCCAAGTACAGGGAGCTCTGACGATGCAAGAGTTAAAGCACGTGGCTGCTGACTAAAAGGTTAGCAGTTCAAGCTCACCAGTGGTGCTATAACAGAGCTGGAATTTACTACTGCCAAGATGTATAGTCATGGGTGCAATGGGGAAATTCTGTTATGTCCTATTGGGTTGTTATGAATCAGAATCAATGTGACGTCAACTAGAATATCTAGTACACACTCCAAATGTGCATGCAATTAATTACTCAACTGGAGATCTACCTCCATTATTAGACTTTCGGATGCTTTGCTAAGCATGGTATTCCCAACACCCAGTAAGATTCATAATCTGAAATATCCACTGAGTGAACATATACTAAATTGTGGAACATGAATAACCCTAAGTTATGTTCATCAACACTGAACTGTACCAGGAAGCTATTATTTCATCAAGAACACAGAGAAAAACTTGCAGTCATCTTTTTAAACAGAAGGCTTTGCTTGTAATATCAGCATCCAGTATGACGGCATCTCTGCTTGTTTTAATAACAGAGTTGAAAAAATCAGCATGTGTGGGTTTGTGTGTTAATTGTTTGCAGGCTAACACACCATGACTCTTTTCAATGAATGACTCAATTTACTTATTTGAACAAAAAACTTTTTCAAAACCAAAATAAGCCCACTGTCATTCAGTTGATTCCAACTCACAGTGATCTTATTTATCAGACTAGAACTGCTTTTCTGTAGGTCATCTTTGAGGAAGCAGAGTGCTTCATTTTCTTTCCTTTCAGTGACCAGCAGGTTCAAATGACACATCTTTTGGTTAGCTGGCTAATGCTTAATCTCCTGTGCTACCAGGGTTCATTTGAAATAATCCACAAATTAATAATGTCAAATATATGATATGGGTAAAATCAAGAAATTAAGAGAAGTTGATTGTAGGAAGATTAATAATAAATACATGTGCATCTTTGAAATCTGACTCTTAATGAACACATGAATTTTAAAATGCCATAATTTTGTCAATTTAAATTGTATATGAGGGCATAGTTAAATAATTTATACTTCGAAAATAAGTAAACAAAATGCAAATAAGGAAGGAATATATGATTAGTCAAGTCATTATGCCTAATAATGAAAGATATAGAACATGGAACTTTATTCCATTCTCCTATACATGACTAGAATAAGAACTAAGAAAAAAATACACACACACACACACACACACACTATTCACTTTGTCATCTCTTTTAATTACACAATTTAATGATCATCATCTTCACGCATTTCTACTGGGATGAGGTAGGAAACAAAATTTGAAATTTCAGTTACTTTTCTTAAAAGCCAGAAAGTCCTTATCGTATCTTTATGAAAAACGATTCTGCACTGAGAAATACCTGTTTAATATAAATTGGCAAGTTGCCTCTGATAGCTGATGATTTCAATTTTACTATTCAGCGCACGCTCCATGTACATCCAAGAGGGACAAATCTGACGTCATGAAGCAGGGCACACGGGAACAATTGTCTTTCTATCAGTTCTTTCGAAGGTTCTTTCAAACATCATCATTTGACTTATTAAAATTCCATTTCACTCAATATTTCAGGCAAAATGATGGGAGGAAGTAGAGTAGCCCTTCAGAGAGCTGTGTAAACACTCGATGACTTGCTCTATGAGTCAGACAGGGAGAGGGGAAGAACCAGCGCCCACTTACCTGGCACGCATTGTAAAGGAGCTGGTGCTCCAGTTTCTTAATTCCCAGGATCTGCTGGAACATTTCATAGAGCTGCTCCTTACTCAGGATCAGTTCAGACACGGCACTCAGGGCCATTCTGGCGGACTGCTTGCACAAATCCTCTTCACCCCGGTAAATGGCGTCGTATTTGGCAATCCACGAGCTCAGTACCGTTTCTTTGCTCAAGCCATCAATTTCTGGCAAACTCCGCACACGTTTCTCTATGTTTTTCTTGAACACCTCTCGGAAGTCGTTAGCTGAACACCCTCCGCTCTGGACCATCCGGGCCACGCGGTCGCTCTTAAGGAAAACCTGGGGTGGAAAGGCATCTACAGTTAAGTGCGTGCACCAACGTCACCTGCATTGTCTAGCTAATGAGTCTATAAGAACTTTAAATGACATGGTAACTACTAATAGAGGCCCCAGATCTCCTCTCCCACATGCGGAAAAATTCAGGACAGTTGTACAGCGTTGAAGGATCTGTAAGATGATCCCACCTTGACTCCATGCCTCCAATCTGAGAGTCATGAGCATCTTTATAAGTTGGATAAGAAGGTTTTCAATCAATCAAGCCAGGAGCTGTAAATCCGATGCTGACTCATGGTAACCTCACGTGTATGAAAACAGAACTATGTTCCTCACAGGCAGTAAGGAGCTGTGCTGCCATCCCAAAGGCATACGGTTCGAATCCATCACCTTCTCCTCAAGAGAAAGATGGACAATCTCCTCCTGTGCAATATATCCTTCCTCTGAAAACCGAGAGGGTCGGCTACAAGTTGGCTCTGGCTTGACAGACATATCAACGTATTTCAAGCGGACTGTCTGCGTTTCCTTCTCAGGGATCTCTGAGGGGACTCAATCCTACATCCTTCCAGTCAGTGGCCGAGCACCTTAACTGTCTGTACCAGCCAGAGTAACAGAGGCTGTGAAGCTAACTTCTCTGGCTGGTGTTGAAGCTGTCATGGTAGAGATGTTGCTGATTGCTGTCAAGTCAAGCACAACTCATCGCAACCCTATGAACAAAAGGCCTGAAGCCTTTCTCTCACTATTGTCTGAAATTCTGAAAGTTCACTGAGTTTCCAGTGGCATGTGGTTTAGGAAGTGGAAGCCACTCCTGCTTCCAACAGAATCGCTGATGGGCATCTATTTTCTCCAGCAGGAAGACCTCACGTTGCCGCAGGGCTTCAGTGCTCTTAGCTCTCTGATGACCCTCTCTTCCAAGCACCTGGGCCTTCCTGACTATCAAGTCCTATCACAGAATAACGGTTTAAGCTGAGAAGAGAAGGAGCCAAGGTCAAAGACTTATAGGAAACTACAGACCATACCAAGAAGCCCTGCTGGCACAGTGTTTAGAACACCTGGTTGCTCACTGAAAGTTTGTTGATTCAAACTCACCAGTCATCCTGGGGGGGGGGGAGGAAAAGCAGTGTGCTCCCCAAAAGATCAACAGCCTGTGACACCCCATGGGGCACTTCTGCTCAGACTTAGAGTTGGATAGATTGTGAATGACTAAATGGAACAGGTTTGGTTAGAGACTAAATACCTTGGTCTTTACATTCCCAAAGCAACACTGCTTCCTTTATTCTCATCCTTCCCTTTCCAGTACCCTCCCCTCTTCAGCAGAGTTCACCTCTGGCAGACATCCAGTCTGCTGAGTGCTGGCCAACACCTGTGGAATTAATAGTCAGTGACCTTCCTGTGAAAATGCCACTGAATACAATGCTGACTCATCAGGGGGTTAGGAGGCTAACGTCAGGAAACTGAACTTAAAATGGTCCATCTTCCTCTCATCATCAAGTTTTAACCCCAAAGATGTCCTATACCTGAGGACCACCTTCAGGGACACCTTCCACTCACCTGCTCAGTTTTGCCACTTTCAGAGAAGTCACTAAGTGTGCCAACCAAGTCACAGTGAACAAATCTAACAACAGTGACCTGGGTCACGACATCAAGAAAATCCATGTGCACAGGAGTCAGTCTGCCCAGCTGTACCAATAAGACTTCAGAAACACTTAACGTTCATACACTGTTGTTGATATGAAGAAGAAACCATGCATTGCTTCTGTGATTTAAAAGCTGTTTACAATGACGAGGAAAACATTGCCCACTTGTGAGATCAGTGTGACCACCGACAGGCTGGGACGGCTGCCAGTGTGAGCTGAGCCAAGATGCTGAGAAAGCCCAAGGCTCCGTCATCGTGCCAAAGAAAACCTCATCTCATCATTCTCCTCATTCCCGCTGTCCTTGGAAAAGCAGTCAAACTATTTTTTTCAGGTATTTATCAATTTATGAAGCTAAGTGGCAGTGATGAATCCAGGCTCACAGGATAGCAAAGAACGTCTTGTTCTCCTGTCTCCGAATCAGAATTTCTTTGTGATTTCTTTCCTCAAAGCCAAAAGATTCTCTCTTATCTCACTGTCCACCCAAATTTCCCCCAGCTGACCTTCTCAGCTTTTTCCGTCATGGTTCCCAGGGACAGACTGTGTTCCCACAAAGGACAAACTTGCCCTTTCATTAACATTCTCTGTATGTCCTTTGTCCCTCTCCCATCCACCCATTCAGTGAATAGCTATCAGTGCATACCTAGGTGCAGTAAACTCACTGCTGGGAAAAGACTGGAAGCCAAGCTACCTGGGTTTGGTGCCTTCACAAGTTTCTGGTGGACAAAAAGATCAAGCCACTGGAGACAAGCTACTTGGCGATTGATAAGCCTGACCAAGAGTCTTTGGTGTCATCAGAGTTAGTGACAAGGTTTTAAATCTAGTCAAGAGGTTGCTTAGGGCTTTCTTAAGGAGATGAGAAGAGAGCTTGTGGCTGAAAGGAATGGTTGGGCAAAGAAGGGAGGCAGCAGGTCCAGCAGTGGGAGGAAACACACCAGGAGAGGCGGGTTTGAAGAAGACCTTTGGATGCTGGCCTCAAAAGTGTGGCAAGAGCCTGGGGAGGGACGCAGGCTTTGTGAGAACTGAAAAACAGTTTTGTTTTCAGCCCAAAAGTAAATCACTCAACCCAACTGGTGTAAAGACAGTTCTGACTCCCAGTGATCCTCAGTGGGGTTTCCCAGATGTCATCTTTAGAAGACTAGACAGACCACCTATCTTCCTTAGCGTGTGGGTGGGATTCAAACTGCTAACTTTTTCATTAGGCACTGCACTAACAGGGCTTATTCAAGAATACACAACACCATCAAAAGATGTAAACCTTGGGGTCCTGTGATTTAAAGAGCATTCTGACAACAGTAGAAACATATCTGAGGAGCTTTACAAGTCTCAACCCACATAATGTAGGTACAGCGGTTTGCTTTTAAGGAATATTTGTGGCAAGATGAATAAGCACTTGGTTTCTAGCTAGAAGGTCAGCGGTTTGAAACGACCAGTTTCTGTGCAAGAAAAATGACCTCCTGACTCAATTAATAAAGATTGTAGCCTGGAAAACACTCTGGCACTGAGCTCCATCCGACAGGGTGTCTAGAGGATAGAAATAATACAACAAGTATCCTGATACCCCTTAAACAGCGATTTAAGTGAAGGTTTACAAAGCAAATGGGTTTTCCAGTCAACCACTCATATCCATTTTGTTTCATGACTTTAATCACAGCACCCACCATGGAATTGATGACATTAATTATAATACTCATTCTCTTCCCACTTCCTCCCCGTGGTTTCTGTATCCATTAATCCTCTGTCCTTTTACATCCTGCCTTCTGAGCTCTCTCCACAGACAAATGTTACCGTTTTGATGCTGCATGGTTGAGCATCTTTCTTTTAAAGGTAAACATGTAAGCAGGGAGAGGGAAAGTCATGTTCAGGGTCACTCAGAGCATGGAGAAGGCGTGATGAAGCCCACGTGCTCTCGTCTCTCCCCACGTCACAGTCAACCTGGTGATGTGACACGTCTCGCTGTAGGGGTTGCAGAGGGCAAGGAGTGAGTGGACTGGAGAGGATTTCGCACGGGAAAATGGGCTCCCCCTTCTCTGCGCAGACCCCTCAGCTCCCCACGGTGTCACACCTTCTCAACAGCACCTGCAGAGCAGCATCTGTCTTGTCCAGAATCATGAGGCCCAGAAGGCAAGGGAGGAACACCTGATCTAAAAGGCGTCTGGGGTGTCTGCACTCAGGAGATGCTCATATTTTTAAAGAAAAAGAGCCATTCTTAGACCATCCATTGACTAAAAAATTGTTGTACATGAAAAGTGGCCAGAGAGGGATGACCTTATCACTGAATCAAGGTGGCATGGATTGAACTGAGGCTCACTATGACACGTACGTGACGATATATTAGTGGAAGCTATGTAATGACATCCCATGATCATACACATTAAATCATTTTAAGAGGGTTAATGGTGCGATACAACACAATTCTGATGCAAGGGTGTTCCCCTAGGGGTGTGGTGGTGGCATTGCTAAGTGCCATCGAGTCACAGATGACTCAGAGTGACCATATGAACGAAAGACCTCAACAACTGTGTAACTTTCATTGTTTCTCTAAGTTCATGAAGTTTTCAGAGGCAAGCTATTTCGGAAGTGGATGCCACTCCTGCTTTCAAGCTTGTTTGAATTGAGGAGCTCCATCAAACACCATCCACCATGGGTGACCATTATCACATTTGACACATCAGTATCACAGTATTTAGCATCACAGGAACCATGAGTTACCTTTGTAAAGCAAAAGGACAGACCAGTGCTATACCACTTAGAAGAATGTTTGACCAAAAACAATGAAAACCAGGCCTGAGGGCCGCAGAGGGTGCAGACTACTTTTTCTCTCACAAAAGATAAAAGGGAAGGATAATGAGCTGAAAATTGGGATTTCAGTAGCACCAAGAATAAACTGCCTGGAGTGGAGTGCATTCTTTTGGGGCTGGGTCCCCCTGTGCTAGGAAGCTCCTTGACAGCAGAGAGGGTAGGGCACAAAGAGACCTCTAAATAATGCCTGAACTACAGGTGCTGAAGGAAACAAGGCCTTTACTCCACTACTGACCAGGACAGAGCAGACCTTTGCCTTGAAGCAGCAACGAGAATTTGGAGTGCTAAACTTGTAAACCATAAGAAGTACATTTATATACTATGCTGCATTGAAAAACAAGGAACTCATGCAATATCATTCAAAATGGTTGACTCTGGAGAACATTATGCTGAGTGAAATATCCCAGTCACAAAAGGACAAATATTGCATGATGCCACTGTTGTAAAAGAGGACTAACCTTGGGGTTGGGGAGAGACTGAGTAAGATGGGTTCAATAGTGTATACTGCACTGAAACATAGGAGGGAGAAAACTGTTTAAAAGAGATATGTGATTAGGTATTTCTGTCATG